ATGATTTTATAGAATTGTACCCTCGGTGTTACTGACTTTTCCATATTGATTTTATTTGGTTTCCCATAATTGGCTGATAACTGCAAAGATGCCACAGTATTTACCGAAGACTTTGTTTTGATCCGTTATTTCCTGAGATCCAGTCAGTATAAGATTTTTACATGTTAAGTGGAATTAATAGAATCAATACATTTCTGTTTAGAAAAGCTTTAAAAACGTGTTTAGAAAACTATGGAGGCATTGGTACACCATTAGATACATTTTAATTAATTGCAATGTTAACCGATCATTTCCCCCCCACTTCCACCTCCCTGTTTACGTGGTATATCTGTTACAGTTGTGTATTGGAGTAATAATAATAACCCTTGCATTTGAAATCGTGTTTTTCAAGTCTTTTAGATGTCTCGAAGAGCTTCACGGAATATACTGTAAAGTGACTTAACTGTATATTTGTGGGTGAAATACAGAAGTACCTGCCAGAGACAACTATAACTACTATGTATATTTATTTGTTTAAGATAGCCAGCTGTCACAGCAGCCAATAACTGGACTACAATAAGTGGACTACAATAACAACTTGAATTTAATCTGCCTGTCAGACCTAAGGAGTTGGATGAGTGCAAATTTCCTTCAGCTGAACGTTTACAAGACGGAAGCCATACTCTTTGGCTCTTGTCAATGTCTAAAATCTCACGGTTCTGACCTTCTCCACCTCCCTGACCTCCCCCTAAAACTCTCCGAACCCGTACGCATCCTCGGCGTCAGGTTCAACCCCCAATTATCCTTCCTCCCCCACATCCGGTCCCTCACCAGCACTGCTTTCTTCCACCTCTGATGCATCGCCCGTCTCTGCCAATACCTCACCCCAAAAGCTGCTGAAACCCTAGTCCAGGCCTTTGTCACCTCTCGGTTGGACTACTCTAACGCCCTCCTCGCCGGCCTCCCCTCCACTACCATCCATAAAATCCAACTTATTCAAAACTCTGTCGCCCGCATTCTCACCCGCAGCAAACTCCGCTCCCCGATTACCCCCAGTCCTTGCCAGACTGCACTGGCTGCCTGTCCCAGAGAGGATCCACTTCAAGATCCTCACCATTGTATTCAAATCCCTGAACTCCTCTGCACCCCCCGACCTCTCTGATCTCCTTTCTCCTCCCAACAGTTCCCGTTGCCTTCGCTCCACTGGGTCTGGCCTCCTCCTTATCCCCCTTGTCCTCCGCTCCACCCTCAGCGGCAATGCCTTCAGCCACTACGCCCCGAGGCTCTGAAATCCCTTCCTCACTCCCTTCGCCTCGCCCCCTCTCTTCCTATCTTCAGGTCTCTGCTGAAGACATTTCTTTTCGACTGCGCCTTTAGTCACCTTCCCCCCCCCTTCACCCTGGCTCGGCCCTGAGATCTGTTACTGTGAAGCGCTCTGAGACGCCGGCCAGCGTGGAGGGCGCTATATAAATCAAAGTTGTAGTTGTTGTCATAGTAGACTACAGTAAGAGTTGCATTTTTCTTTTTGGAAGAGGGTGGGAGGAAAGCATATCTGATTAGTTCTAAACTTGTGTGCATCAGATCACGTTTTTGCCTGTGAAGAGGAAACAGCATCAGCACTTGTGCGGTTGCAATCCTTCCTTCCTAATACTCCTCCAGGGTTGCTAAAAATAGCTTTTCATGGCTTGATGAATATTTGATGACAAACTTGCATTCATGAATCAGCAGCTTATGACTTAATGTGTGAGCACTCACACTGGCCCAAACTTCAAACATTATTGCTTTGTTTTATGAGCAAGAAATATCAGGTATCATAATATTTTGTTGCCATGGTCTTTGATAATGCTTCCATCTGATCACAGGCCTCTTTGAAGTTACATCTTTTATAAAGTAATTAGAGGGAAAACATAGGAACATGAGCGGACCATTCAGCCCCTCGAGCCTGGTCCTCCATTCTATCAGATCGTAGCTGATCTGTACATCAACTTACTGTCCTAAGTTTCAGATTTAGTTTTGGAGCCTGCTTAAATAATAATAGTAGTGATCATAATAATCCTTGCATTTGATATAGCACCTTATCATGTCATAGAGATGTCTCTAATCACTTCACAGGATATACTGTAAAGTGTGGAAACTGTATTTTGTGGGATGGTGTGTCCCAGGATATTGAGTAACATACATTATCCTTAATTAATATCAGTCATAGAAATACCGGTGGACTGAATTATTGTGCCTGGAAATTTTCACAATAGTAGTTTTATTTGAGAAGGGAATGTATCTTGTTTCCATAATGTTCCATGCCAAATATTCTTTCTAAACAGAATGCCTGTTTCAACCCAAACACAACTAGGAAAAGATTCTTAATCCAGCACGACAGCAATCTGAAGACTGCCATGAAATACACGAGCCTCACAAGCACAAATCCATTAGAGATTTGTAACGTTTGAATTTGCACAGCAATTGACAACGAGTGTAATTTTTTTTGTTAATCCACTGCATCGTGCTGTTTCTAGCAATGGTGGATTTAGGAAACGTAATGAAATTGTGATGAATGGGAATTGATGCTTTTATTTCAAAAGCAGCCTGCTATCAAACAGTTACTTGAATTCTCCTCAGAGTGCCGAGGCAGGTCATGTATTCCTGTACTCTCATTGAATTCAGGTAAGTATCATTTGATCAGTAAGACTCGTAACTCAAGTTTACCTGTCTGTTCTATTTTCGCTTTAGCAATTAAAAATTCATCAGAATATTTACATGGAACCGTTTAATGTTTCTACTCCCAGCAATGGACACTGGTAAAGGTAAACGTTCCACTAATTTGCAGGATTTTTTTTTCCAGGATCCTCTGATCTTTTTTATTTGGGATGCACTAAAAGCTTCATCTTCTTCAGTATACCAAGAGTCAGACGCAGATAGTTACATAGCAAGTGCTCCGGGATACTACCCTGTGTAAGGGTTGCTATATTGCAAGTTGTTGTTAGATAACATCGCAGGAGAAGAGTAGATTGGAATGTATTCTCGGAAAAAATGCTATCTGAATTTAAAATTTCATTCTTGAGACCACTATTCCAGGAAAGCAAACTAAATTTGTCTTGTCATCAGTGGTGGAGTCCTGTATCTGAGTGGTTAGAGTGCCCACCTCGCAAGCAATGTTGGGCAAGTTTTCTTACTCCACACGGTTCTGTTTACGTTGCAGTAAGTAGAAACCCGGTTTGTAGTCGATTGGCGGATTGCTTTTCCGGGGGTAATGATCCCTTCAAAAAAAAATAACAAAAACAAATTGGTCACTTCAATCCACGACTGTTATGGAACACTGCTGTGTGCAATTGGCCGCTGTGTTTCGCCCACAAAAAATATACAATCAATTCGCTTTACACTATATTTTGTGAAGCGCTTTGAGACATCTGGAAGACGTGATAAGGCACTATATCAAATGCAAGGATTATTATTATCTTTATTTGGCACCAACATAAAGATTAAAGCACAGGTTTTATTACAAAGGGATATGATTTTAAGCTTTTTTTTAAAAAAAGCGATATCCTAAGCTAAGGTACAGAGCCTTCTGACTGATATGTGGCATTTAAAAAGGAAACAGTGAAATATATGATTCCCGAGAGGGTTAGGAAACTGCGGTGGGGAAAGCTAGAAATTTGTCCTTTTGGGCTCCGAAACCAAATCTATTTGACTTGAGTGTTGAATACACTAATTGTATTTTCTCATTCCTGCATTCTGTAAATCAAATAAAACAAAAAAGGCAATGTTTCATTTGGACCATTATCACTGGTCTCCAGAATGGGATTGGGGTGACAGAATGCTTCCATGAAGCAGACATCTTTACATCAAGAGTGTTGAAGTCGAGACACAGTATAACGCAGTGTGGGTGACTTGCTTGGCAAAGACGGTTCACATGATGTAATTAACTCTTTCAAACATACATCTGAATAAGTAGTTAAAAATAGATCAAAGCTTACAAATGTGACACTGATGATTATTATTAATTCTTGCATTTGATATAGTTCTTTATCACGTTGCCAACACGTCTGTAGCACAGCATTTTCTATAAAGTGTCTATTTGTAGGCATATATAATTTAATACTGCATAGAAAGGAATGCTCAAGTAAGTCCGTACAGTGACATGGAATGCAGGTAGTTAGAGATGTAAATGTGGGTTATAAGGCTGCATTAATATTCTGTATTTGCTTGATGGTCTTTTGGAGCTGGGAAGAAATTTCCGTCCTTTATTTTCTTAGTGATTGGTTGCCTGCCTCGGGAGATTGAGTGGTTGAGAAGAGTCCATTAAAGAATACATTGTCTAGTACTTGGTCTGTGAAGGGACTTTGTGCGCAAAATAACTCTTCCACGGTGCATTTGTGTGAACTTTTTACATGCTTCTATCGAGTTCAATGTAATTTCATGTGGTACGATGAAGGATACAGTTGAAAGTACAAAATGATAAAAGGAAGAAGAAATATATCTATTTCTTTGTTCAATCTATATTACACATACAGATTCTTCATGCGAAAAAGAACCTTTTGTCTCAATTTACTTAGTCTGGGAAATGTAATTTGAGGCTTTGCTGGCTTCCTGAAATTGTGCAGTTTTATGGCAGAAACAGCTGTGAGGATCAACTGCTTTATTACATAATACACAGGAATAATTCACTTCAGCGCTGATTTGTAGTAGCAATAGAAAGTATGTGTACGAACCAATATTTTACCAGCTACCAATCTGCTTTTATCTCTTGATGTAATGTTTATCTTGTTTGTTTTGTAGAAAGTCGCAATGTCCTTGCACTTAGACCTCAGCAACTCCAACAAAACTATAGATGCTCCAGCACCATGATCTTTGAGTTCCATTACAATGACCAATGCTTACTAAATTACTGCCATAAATCCAGTTTTGCTTTTTTTTAAAAAAAGCTTTGTCTTATTTTCCTTGCAACTTGACTAAGCTGTCTGTTATTGATGTATTACATTTTAACCAAACCTTGTTTAATACTAATCTGTATTAATTTATTTCAGAAATATCGACAATATATGGCTGGACTCCTGGCCCCACCCTATGGTGTTATGGAAACTGGATCCAGTAATAACAGTACGTTTTTTTTTAGTAGATCAGACATTTGAAGCACAAACCATGACAACTCCATGTACAATGTGTATAGTTTCCCTCTTCTCCAGTCTCCCCAGCTCCACTCTCCACAAAATCCAACAACAGATTAAAGAAAACCGAGCGTTGCTCAATCTATTCTAATAGTAAGGTAGGAGATGAATGTGGCCCATGTTCATAGCGCAACTAGGAACTTGTAAAACCTCATCGGGACAGGCAGCTACGTTTGAATATAGGGAGGCACCAAGTATTCTGCTGTGTTGTTTGGATGCGGAACAGATGTTTTGAATAATTTAATGAAACGAATGGTATTTCTTCAAATGCCAGAGTCCAAATTCAGGAGGTTTGTTCCGGTTGCTGATAAACCTGCTGAATCTAGGGCCCTCTTGTGGCTCAAGATTATAATATTATTTACCCCTTAAGCTTCCTGTTGAGTTACCCGGTATTGCTATCTGGCCCTCGCTGAGATATTACAGTTCTTAATTTAGATGTTTCCCTTTTTTTTTGGTCTTTGTTTTCTCTTTTGTTCTTAACTTCAGACCTTTCCGTGAACGCGCCCGACCTTCTTAACTGCAGCTGCATTTCCCTCTCCCCGCCAAAGTGAGTTTAAATGCTTTATGTTTGGTGCTAGCAGTTTAGCTCCCATGGAGTTAACTGTAAACCATCCTTCCTATAAATGTTTTGTTAACTTGAAAATATTCCCCTACGTACCAATTCAATTTCCACCTGCATTTTGAAGTGCAGCGGAAAACAGAGATGAAATGCTTGCAGAGGATGCACCTTGAAAATTCTTTTTAACTAATTCAGACACCGTGCTTGTTTGCTGTAAACAGGGCTACATATTTTTGGGAGGTTTCACTAAATCTCTTCCTTTCACGCCGAATGAACATGGCTCCAAATAATGGACAGAAAACCCCCCACTTTTACTGAAATGATTTTTCTCTGTGAAATAGTTTTTTTTTGGAAAAGGGACAATTTCCCACACATCAACAACAAATTACATTTACACAGTGCCTTTCACATCAGCAGCATGTCTCAAGGTGCTGGACAGTTAAGGGCTTGAATCCCTTCAAAACTCTAGAAAAGCTGGGGTGACGATACTGTAAAATAAGTATATATTTTTTAATAGTTGCATGAACTTGCAATTTAGCAGAGAATTGTGAATTTCATTAACTACTCCAAGTCCCAGCAATTTCTTTTCTTATCTTCAGCAAAATGTAGTTCCTCAACTTTATTTTTGGCAGTAAAAGCTGAGGATAAATATTCAAAATGTCGCTTACAGTTTTATGATGTGTATATGTGGCCCATCAAGACCCCTCTGTACCTCTGTCAAGGATTCCCATACTTAAATGATGGCCTCCCTATGCACAGCACTAAATATTTAATTTCCTCGTCTCAAGTACTCGTTCAAGTGACAAAAGTAATAATTTAATTCATTTTTTTACAGTGCCAGTTAATTACATTTGATTAACATAATTGTTCATTAAGCACTCTCTCTCCCTCTCTCTCGAAGAGGAATTAGTTGTGGATTGGAAATAAAATCTAATGGAAATCTCTTAAGTACCTAATTATATCTCTAAAGCAGCAAATGTAAAACATTTTGCAAATCCCATTATTCACCATTTATTGATGGAACACAGAAGGTACCCAATGTTTACACAATAATTGTTGAAATACACATTGCACGTACAAGTGAACATTGCGAAGCAGACTGCTCACCAAAGGTGAGTGTTTTGCGATAGGGATAAGTCAAGTGGCTTACTTTGGTGAATGCCCACATTGCTGAGGTTTCCATAGGTTCTCACCACTTTGCCGTGCCAGTAGATAAGCCGTGCACCTTTTTTTTTTNCTTTAAAGCAAACTAGCTTTGTGTTTTGCGTTTTGAGTGAGAGAATAAACGTGAGCCAAGAAATAAAAAGGCCCAAGGAAGGGCTGATATTTCGGAGTAAGAGTCGACATGTAATCTAGATGATCGAATTCATTTGCAAAAAAAAAAACCTATGGTTTCCTGGAGTGATTTCCATCACCTGTTATTCTTACTCTTTAGAGCACTGTGCTGTGTGTCGTTGTGTTCGTACGGAGGTCACTATAATTTCGCTTTTCCGCATAGATTCTTGATACCGATCTGACTGCTTCATATTGGACAATTAATCTTTTTCTTCTTTCAGGAATCTCTGACAAGGAGAACATGAACACCAATGTACTGTGTCCTGTGTCCAAAAACACAAACAAGGTATGTGGTCCTTTCTAAACTCAAATGTGACTGATATGTTTGTGTGGTCCTTGGTCTTTCCAACATAAGTATGTTAATCTCTGTCTACTTTTGATACATGGCCTTATGTGCAGTTCAGTTTAGTGACTTGATAAAAGTTGCTTTACTTTGTTTCTTCTCTTCCATCCCATCTCCCCTATTTGCAGTAACCTATATACGAATCACCTTGAGTAGCGCATTAGAACATAATATGGTTGTGTTGCTTTTTGATGGGAATAACACAAGTTGTGTGTTCAACTTCAAGTGAACTTTTTTTAAAAAAAAGTACTAATTGTACCTGCTATAGTTAGCTCCTATCCTCGCTGTTCCTGCCCAGCTTAGTCATTGAATTTCTATTATCTCCTGGGTTATTTTTGTGTCTAGGATGACCAATAGTTCTGTTACCAGCAGTGCTAAAATTAGCTGCTGAGATGGGTGGAATAAAGTGCTGGAAATCCAAGTTCTCTTCATATAGCGTAGAATAGCCAAAGTAACCCAACAACAAATTACAGTCACGTCGGGAGGACGTCCCAAGATGCATATTTAAATAAAATCTTTTTTATTTTAAAAACATTCATTGAACTTATTGGGCTAAATGCTTCAGACTTTGAATCCTCTATCGATCCTGTTGCTCACATTATGACATTTGTTAGCCTATTTTTTCTCTTTCAGAAGTTGATTCACTTGTTGCGGATTTCCAGGATTTTTTTATTTCAGATTTTCAATACTATAGAAAATAGTATTGAATGTACTATAGACTGCTGATAGCTGAAAATGACGTGAAATTTTACATTTGGGATAAAATAGCATTAATCAATAAAGTGATGTGCGAGCTCTTTCCTATCTTAATCCATATAGTGTGATCGATTGCGGTGAATAATTAAAGATGGTGACATTCTCTACCCACAGTGACATTAATTGTTTATTATCTTCACAGCAGTCCTTTTGCCCCTTTTTTCTGCCCTTAAAACATATCAGTATAAAAATGTCAAGCTAAAAAAAATTATCATTTGAAACAGTTAGATGACCCTTCTGATTTTTTTTAAAAAAAACTTCCATTGATGAAATATGTAATCTCTTTTAATGATTGTGCAGCTCTAACTGAATCAAGTTAAACAGCCACTAAGTTTGTTGCAAAAACTTCCCATCAAATGCCAATTCAGCCCCTCAATTCTTGACTATCTGATATGCAGCAAAGATGAAGTTTTAGGAGTCTCATAATCGTTCGCCCATAAAATACAGTCAATTCACTTCACAGTATATTCCGTGACAGCCTTTGAGACGTCTAAATGACTTGATAAGATGCTATGTCAAATGCAATTTTCACTGTTTAAAAAAATTAATGTTAAGTTCTTGCACTGAATATTTAGAGTAAGGAACTTTGGAGCAAAAATGAAGGAATATTGGGAAGTAAGGTTGTAGTTTGCGATATAGTAATTAGCACTTTGTTAAACTATGATTGATTGACCCAGTCAATAACTGATGTCTGGCTTGAACCCCCTCCCACCCTTGGGAATCAACTGTTCAAAATGCCAAAGCCATGGATGTATTTTTTTAAATGTTAAGTTAAAAAGAAATAGATTGTTCAAAGTTCCTGGGTCGTTAACCATTGACTAGCAGTTGGAGGAATGGCTTACACTCCTGCACTTTACTCCTGTTGCAAATAATTTGCCTTGAAATAAATGATGCTATGTTTCTCAAGGTGGCATCAGAAGAGGGCTCCAACATGTTCTTTTTTTTGGTCAGCCGGGTGTCCGACACATGCAGAAACCTAATTCCAGAAATTATTAGGCACAGTTTGCCAAGACGTGGGGGTCCCCAGAGTGTGTGTTGCGGTAAATGCTGGAGTCGAACCAGCTAAAACCAAAAGCCATTGATGTTGCTGTCTGGCAAGCTTTCCCGCAGCTTGTCCAGCTCGGCCCGTCCTCCCCATTAGGGCTTTGGTTTACAGGCTCCAACACGAGACGTATTACCTGAGATTCAATTGTACTGTGAGGGTTGGAGCTAACTTCAGTTTTATGCGCAGTTGCATAAAATTTTATTGACGATTTTGTTTTATTTTTCAGACATCAATCATTGAAACTCGACTTGCTCTACAACCTGCTAAAAGCATCACCCAGGTAACTGAAGTTTACAACAAAATGTAAATATTTGAAATGACTGTGTGGTAAACGGTTGTCATGTTTTGTAAATGTCTCTTTAAAACAAATTGCAATTATACAGTTGCATTTCGCGTCCGTTCAACCCAGTGTATTTAATAAAGTTGACGTTAATACACCTACAAGTTGATATGATTTGTATGATATTTGGAGAAAGGGAATTGGTTCTTAATCGTGATATCATTCGTGTTAGAGATATTTTAGGCAAAAAAAACTCAGTCTGCACACGTAAGTAGAGAAAGGATCAGACAGTTTGAGTAATTTGTGATTTTCTCAGGTCCCATCTGAAAAGATCCTTCGAGCTGGGAAAATTTTAAGGAATGCAATAGTTACTCAAGCACCTCACATGATAAGAGACCGCAAGTATCATCTAAAGACCTACAAGTGAGTAAAACCTACTGCTGCTGTTCCTCGTTTCTCATATAATGAGATTGTAGTTACTCCACTGCTTGGGTAGAAGAAATATCTTGTCTCGTCTGTGACGCTATCATTTAAGATTTTATGTTTCCTAACACTGTTGCCTTTTCTTGCAGACAATGTTGTGTTGGGACGGAATTGGTGGATTGGATGATGCAGCAGAGTACTTGTGTCCATTCCCGCTCACAGGCTGTCGGCATGTGGCAAGCACTGCTCGAGGAAGGCGTCGTGAACCATGGTAGAGTATCCCATCATTAAACAATGGTGCTCCAAATAGACATTGATAACACATTGATAACTGAATCCTGTGATTCAGTGGTTGGAGCACTCGCCTCGCAAGTGAGAGACCTGGCCCCTGTTTATCCAGCAGTAAGTAGGAACTTGCTGCTTTTCTGGGGGTAATAATAGTAATGATAAATTGGTCACTCAATCCACGACTGTTTGTGAGACACTGCTGTGCGCAATTGGCTGCTGTGTTTCGCCCACAAAATATACAGTCAATTCACTTTACAGTATATTTTGTGAAGCGCTTTGGAGATGTTGCGAAGATGTGATAAGGCGCTATATTGAATGCAAGGATTGTTATTATTATTATGATATTCACAAGTGGAAACTCAAACCCTCCTCTGTAGTAGAAATGCTCATCAGCTGCTCCCTAGGTTTTTTTTAAAAAAATTAAAACTTTTTTTTAAAAAAAATAATAACTTGTTTTACACTTGTTGACCCTAGTGGATCAAGAGTATAATTTCCAGGACAAGTACTTGTTCTATCGTTTCCTTGATGATGAACAGGAAGATGCCCTGGTGCCCACTGATGGAGAGATGAAAGAGTGTGAGGAGGAGTTACAGGAAACGATGCTTCTGTTGTCTCAGATTGGGCCAGACGCTCACATGAGAATGATTTTACGGAAACTGTGAGTAACATTGTTGTTGTTATTGGGCCGGGTGTCTGACACACGCCGAAACCCATCACTGGGGTTTAAGAGTTTCCAAACCAAGCTGAGATTTCCATGCATCCCGCCCACACATTGCTAAATGACTTCTCAGTTTTCGGATTGTTCTCTTGTGCCCTCTTAATGCTTATTGCGGTTCTCCTGACTTGGGTTTTGCAATCTGCCCTTTGCAATTTATTCTGTTTTAATCTGAGGAAATAAGCGTTTTACAGTAGTGTCATTTTATTCACTGATGAAAGACTTGTTAATGTGCTCTCACGTAACATTTCTTGCACGTATTAACAAAGCGAAAAAAGCTTTGAGATTTTAAAGTTAGGAAGGGAGCAATAACCTGAAAGCATGCTTCAGGCAACAGCTTTTTAATGTGTCTTGGAGAAGAGCAGTGAAGGTATTGCCTCCGTCCCTCAGTCTAAGATTGATTCATTGTTTAAAGGCACAGATGTGCTTTGAAAATAAACTGCTCTAATTTAATTTAAATTTTTTAATTCGCAGGCCAGGCCAGAGAACCGTGGATGATTTAGAATTCATATATGAAGAGCTTTTGCACATCAAAGCCTTGTCTCATCTTTCTACCACTGTAGGTGTCTGTATTTTAATCCTCATTTGACCTTGTTAAAAAATACATATATTTTTGCGAACCACTGTTGTAGCTCTTTGTAGGTTCAATATTATTGATCTATTTTTAAAATATCATGTAATTATGAATTATATTCTGATATTAGAATGAATCTACTTTAAAGACTCAGTACTGTTTTGAATTTGAAAGTTTCATTGTTAGTTTCTTGGGCAGCAATTTAAAATGTTTAACTTTCTTTTTTTAGGTGAAAAGGGAGCTTGCTGGTGTTTTGATATTTGAATCTCATGCTAAAGCAGGGACAGTGTGTAAGTATCGAATAGTTCCAGACAAAATTCACTAAGAACGTCAAGAGAAATTATGTTTAGTTCCTGTTGCAGTTAACGAATCTTAAAAGCAAAATAACTGAAATAATTGATTTTCTAAAACCTGTATTAACGACCAACTAATTATTTTAGATACCGTCTTTCCACTTTGGGAATTATAGAACATTTGTCGTATGGTTGTCAGGGTGTTGCTGAAATGGGTCAAGTGCTGTGATTGAATTTTACCTGTATGTCAATTTCTGTGTCTTTGAGATATGTTCAGTGTACAGCAATGCTGTTCTTTCCACAATTCAATTTATTGAATTGAGTTTGGATGGGTTGATTTTTTTTTTTAATTTTGCAGTGTTTAATCAAGGAGAGGAGGGTACTTCATGGTATATTATCCTCAAGGGATCAGTGAATGTCGTTATCTATGGCAAGGTACAGTATTGAGCCCAGAAACCTTTAAAGTGGTGTGTAATCAATTACTGACCCACATAGTACTGTTTCTGTGACTATTAATTTTTAAAAAAAATATATGTTCCAACAACAATCAAATGTTTTATATAGGCATAATTGCTTAAATTGGTGTAAGACATTATATTTTGGACATCTTTTAACAACTGAAATGATTTGTAGAATGCCAATTTATAGTCGTTTTTCTTGAATAGCACGATTTTTAATACTTTATTAATCCTTAGAGTTTTACAAAGGAACGTGGCCTAATATTTTCACACCAGATTTTAATGGTGTACTTTCATTGAAAGAGCAACCTAATTTTTTTTAATAAGATATATTCCTCTTATTGAAAGTGTTGGATTACTTTGCTGTGATGCTTTGCAAATGGTTTGGTGCAAATGACTAATTTCTCAATATGTGAAGAGGCTCTATATCAAATGCAAGTATTATTATTGCTGTTGTAGGGAGTAGTTTGTACGTTACATGAAGGGGATGATTTTGGGAAGCTGGCCCTGGTGAATGATGCTCCAAGAGCAGCCTCTATAGTTCTCCATGAAGATAATTGTCACTTTCTACGTGTGGATAAAGAAGATTTTAACCGAATCCTTCGGGTAAGTGGTATCCGATACCAGGCAGTGATCTAGTTGTTAGAATCGTTTGGTTCTGTAAATGCGTTTGGTAAATGATTTGAATTCAGGCTGTTGCTCATTTCAGATATAACTTGCTATATTCTTATTTCTGTGGTAAAACAGATGTATATAAAATGCATTTGATATAAAATCCTGTAGAGTCTTCCATTATTGTCGTCTTTCTAAATTCCCTTTGTCCAAAGCGATCCTTTTCGAAGGATAGAGTCAGCTGAGTCAAAAGCTTTTAAAACACTTTTCTATTAGTGGTGGGGAAAATGACCTGAGTTTAGTACACTTGACCATTTAAAGGCTAAATTGTAGTCTGACCTTTTCATTGAACATCAGTAAAAATCAAATGCATTGTGCTGAACACAGCAGTCAGTCACTTAAGATCAGTGTTACAGAATTTGGTCTCTGCCTGAAACTAATGTTAAGTAAAAGAGTAGCAAACTGAGCTGAATTTTCCTCCCGACCCTGTGTGTTCTAGGATGTTGAAGCCAATACAGTGAGACTGAAAGAACATGAACAAGATGTGTTGGTGTTGGAGAAGATCCCAACGTGTAGCAGAGCTTCTGTCCAAGGAAGCACACAGACACAGTACAAGTAATATTATCCCCGTTTCATTTTCTGACGGTTAAGATGTAAAATCACTTGCTGAGTTGGTGGCAGAGTGCGTTGACATGACACAAAGTGCATTATCGGTTTTGATGGGATAAAAGTCGACTCCCTTCCAATCTGTTGAGCGGAGGAAGAGCAAATGGCATCAAAAAAGCACGTCTACCTCAGTGCTCAGGGAGAATTGGATTTTGTATCTTCGATAATATTTTATTATGGTAAAATGTAATACACTATTTAGCGATTATATTGATATTTTGCTCTTCACTTTTGATGAAGGACTTTGAGACACTGTGTGAAAATAGCTACTACAGTAAGGCATTTGAGCTAATGACGGCAATGTTTCTGGGGGGTTTTTATGCCCAACAAAACGTGGTTGTTTCTGCCGACAAAATCGATTGAGCTAGTAACTCTCAAAGCTAAATTGATGATTTTAATGTGATTCTGAATTCTCTTGGCAATCTGTTAAATTGTGTTAGGGGTAAGCAAGTCACTTAGAAAATAGTCCAAATAAATAAAAACCAAAGTCGCTGGGAACACTCAGCAGGTCAGGCAGCATCTACGGAGAGAGGAAAGTGAGTTAACGTGTCAGGTTCTGAAGAATGATCGTGGACCTGACACGTTAACTCACTTTCCTCTCTCCATAGATGCTGCCTGACCCACTGAGTGTTCCCAGCGACTTCTCTCTTTATTTCCGATTTCCAGCATCTGCGGTATTTTGTCTTTTGTTTTGTTTTTTTGCAACTAAATAAAAGTCCATCTTCTCTTCCTGCAGATACACTGTGATGTCAGGAACTCCTGAAAAAATATTAGAGCACTTTTTGGAAACCTTGCGCCTTGAATTACCTTCGAATGAAACAATAGGTACCTCTAAAACATTGTGAATAATAAGCTCCTTTCACTGTCAATGTCCAAATCTAGACCAAGCGATTCAAATATTATAGTTTTCCTGCATATCATCAAAATAATAAGTAGGGTTCATGATTTCTATGTAGAAATGACATCTTACTTGTAGACATAGTTAGGGAAAAGAGCTCAGTTATGAGTGGTGAGTTATTGAGAGTTTACTATGTTGTTTATTTGGAATCTCAAAGTGGTTTCATTTGTTTGTAGTACATATATTCATAATTAACAGTGTTCATAACTTTGGAAAAAGGGGCTATTCCATGGTTCAGAAATGAATACTTTTGGATGCTCTGCACATTTGTGTTCATTTGTTTATTTCCCATGGAGAGCATTTTTTGGGGGCTGTTTGTACCAGACTCTCCATTTCAAAGTACTTCGATCCTTTGAATGCAGTGGCAGCTTTATGGGCATCATATGGAGATGAATAACTTTTACAATGACAGCTATGAATTAACTTTGGTGCCTCGAGGCCTGTCTAATGAACTAAAATGAAGTGGTTAGATATAACCTAGAAATCCCTCAATGTCCTAGTCCGTAAAAGCACCACCCTTTGTCTGTGCTTTCATTGAGTACAAATGGTATCCCCAACATTAATATCTTATAGCTTGTGTGAACATAATAATTTGTCTGAATTCATCATACCAATATTTTGTTGAAACACTGTGGACAATTGGCTTGTAAACATATGTAAAATTTATTTTAATTCCGTTATTCCAGAGATTTAATCACAGATAAGATTTTCTTTAAAAAAATACAACTAAGATGAAGAGTTTCCGCACTATATTTTCCACCCACAAAATATATAGTCAATTCACTTTACAGGATATTCTGTGAAGCATTTGGAGATGTCTCTAAGACGTGATAAGATTTTATATCAAGAAGGTTTATTATTATTTACATCTCTTGGGATGATTCCTCTGATCCTGTTGAATTGAATTTCTTGCAATTTCAGATTTGCGACTACTTGCTTTTGTCCAATAGGTTTTCACAATATCATTGTTCTTATCGATTCTTAATCAAACGTTTTCTCTTCCTTTTTTTTTGTTCTCAGTTTCTCAAACAGATAAGTTCCTGGATGACTTTGTGCTGATGCACTGTGTCTTTATGCCAAACAGCCAGCTGTGTCCTGCTCTAATGGCTCAATATCCTTTCTGTTTTACCCATTCATGTTGAGATATTCCTCCTGTCGATTAGAACTCATCATTCACAGTAAAGAGGGTTTTTTTTTTTTAAAAAAAGTCTCATTGATGACAGTCATAGTTATTACAGAGGTCCTTGATTAAAACATTAAAATCTAAATGAAAAAGTAAAACTACAAGTACGACCCTTCTATATAATCCTCTTGATTTCAAGAATAATGATGTAATATTTACCATAATTGCAGTAACCACAAATAGACTTGATGCCTTGTTAACCAATTAACAACAGGTATTTCATTTTGCTATTTTAAGCATTGCGGATCTGTTTTCCTTCCTATTTTACCCATTATAAATTCAGTGTCTTTATCGCATTCTGAAAACACCTGTAATTTGAATACTTATTTTTGTTCTGCCCCCATCTGCACTGTGGCCTCTTTAGTTTGGGGGGTGGGGGAAAGAACTTCATTCATGGAGATGCCAATCGACACTTCTCCTTAAGTCTCTCCTTAATCAAACTCTCCGAATCTGATTTTGTTCAAACCAGTAACACATGGCTGTCTCTAAGTGGTCCTGTTGGTTTAATGAACATCCTCGACAGATGTTGTGAATTTCCTTAATGCCTACCCACTTACCATTCAGAAGCATTCCAAGGCTCGGAGCAGGAGAAAACGGACTATGCTCTCAATAATAAACGCCGGGTTATTCGCCTTATCCTGAAGTGGACAAATGTATATCTAGACCTACTGCAGGAGGATGAAATTGCCATGGCATTTCTAGAAGTGAGTGATTATTATTATCAAACCTGAGAGAATATAATTCTTGAATTTGATGTAGGTTTACATAGGGAAGTGTTTGACAGTCTTAAGACAATCCCTGATTTAAAGCGTATTTTGAGGGCCACAAAAAAAAGCATTTCAATGTTGCAAATAGGCAAAACAAGTTAGTTATTTTATCTTTAATGAAGCCGAAATGCAAGGAGTATTATTACTATTATTACACATGGATTCGTAGCACGAGCTGTGCTGAATGTGTACTAATCAACAACATAAATCAGGTTTGAGGGTACTATTACACATTTGAAGCCTGGATGCCGAGAATACTTCTGAAGAGAGAGATTTGCCAGGAATGTCACTTGCACAACTTCAAGATACACGGATGACGCAAGTCAATTCAGTCTCGATTTGTAGTAAAATGATGTGCAAAAGTTCCCCTCAGACCATGGTGATGATTAATCACTTACTGCCAGGATAATATCCAAAATATAGAAATACCATCACACAAACGTTATATAGTCCACACCTCCAATACTTATTCTCCGAGCTAGCAACACTGTCTCCTCTATCACTACAAGCCTCCAGCTCCTTGTTCTATCCAGTATCTATTTATCTATCCATGAGGAACAGAGAGGAAATGTTCAAGTCCAGAAAGTTATGCATCAACAGTGGAGCTACATTCCAACTCTGGACTATTCGTACTTCGCTTGTTCTTGCACAATTATCATCCACTGACATCTCACACGGATATGTGCCTTATGGGTTTCCTAAACGTAATAAATTCATTGAAAAATGTATCGCTGTTTGATTTTTTTTCCCACCATTTCACTACAACTTAGTTTTACTTTTTTAAAAAAAAAATAACAAGAGTATAATCGCTTCCATATAATTATTTAGGGAAAATGTCATTTCACTGTTTTTAATCTCCTTGTCGATGGCTTTTGTTGAGCCTTACTATCTTGCAATTTGTGACAGTAGAGAGTACAGGGGGAGGGGGTGTTAATGCATTATGTGTACACATTAATGTGTAATGTCATAAAGGATTATCTACTGTTTTGGTGGAGGAAATTAGCAATTAAGTGCGCTTCGGATTAATATTGGTGGCATTTCATCAAAAAGTAGATTAAGAGTTAAAAGGGCACATTTTCTAAGAACCTAAGTGTCTCAGATCTTTATTATAGCCATTTCAAACTTCATTTACAGGGATAGTTTTGACACAAATGCAGTTTATGGTAATGTAACAATCTTCCCATGAAACATAAAAGGATTATTACAGAATGCTAAGCTAATTTTGAGAGTATTTTTATGATTCTTAGCTCATTAGTTCTTTGATGTGATGGAAGAAGAGTCCCATTAACGGAAATAGACAGCACTACAGTGCTTGGTGAATTCTAAATACATGACCCTTCCATTAAATCGTGCAACAAAAATGGTTTCATGATAAATCAATGAAGTTTCAAGTATTGCTGTAACCAACAGAGACAAAAAATCTCTTCCCCCTTTTATTACTCAGCAATTCACAATGGGAAGGAATAACCAAGTTTATACACAGAGAGTTTATCGTGCACTGTTTGCTCATCTTGTGGATGTTTTTGTAGCACACTTGGGACATTGCTGTGCGCAATTGGCTGCCGCGTTTGCCCACAAATATGCAGTCAATTCACTTTACAGTGTGTTCTATGAAGCGCTTTGGGATGTCCTCCCGACGTGAAAAGCGCTATATCAAATGCAATTATTATTATTATGGGAATTTCATTGATAAGCACATACGTAAAGCTTTGCTACAGTTCATGAACAATGCACGACAATCTTCGCAGAGTGCTATGGCTTTAAGCTGTTTCATCAGCAGCGAACACAGCAATTACCTGATTTGTTTCTGATTTGTAGGAATTCTACGTGTCGGTGTCGGATGATTCGCGAATGATTCCTGCTCTGAAGGAACAGCTTCCGGAGTTGGAGAAGCTGGTAAAACCAAAGTACGTCATTTCCTTTATTCGTTGCCAGACCTCAAAGTTGAAATAGCTTGATATCATTAATGGTTAGAAATGAGCCTTTTGTGTGTGGTTGCCAAGTTTTATCTTTGCTGTTGTGTTTAAATATTGAATCCAGTCCCACAACATAATGCCCTTGTTTGACGTGGTTGAATATGTACACAGAGTTGAGACCTCAGTCTACTGTTTGATGTTAGAATAGAGGATTTGTGATCACTACCTCCAGTCTCTACTGCGTACCGTCTTGTACTGCGTTTTGCCCACAAATGTTCCATAAGGGAGAAGAAGAAATGGTGATGTTGTACAAAGTTAAATTTAACTGATAGGAGGACAAAATCTGATGCTTTTGCTGGAGCCAACTCAGCCATCAAGTTGATGGCATTTTCAATAGGCTGGCTGAGTTTATATTCATAACCTGAAATGGAAAATGTTATCGGAATCAATCATCAAACCATCTAAGATTTAGTAACACTATTCCCCCCTCCCCCCGCTCCCTCCCAACCCATGTGTGTTAGCTTCCTACACTCTTTCAGAACACAACATGCCGTTGTACTGAACATTGGATGCTAGTCATAGATAAACCTCTTGCTTTTCAAGAGGGAGAGGGGAAAGGATGACTGAAAGCACTGTCAAAGAGGTACGTTTTTGAGATGGGCCTTGAACAAGGGAGGTAACTCGCGAGTCGGAATGGAGATCCAGAGAGCGGAGGCAGGTGGCTGAAGGCCCAGCTTCGTGACAGGGCGGGGGACACGAGGAGCCGGTTGACCGAAGGGAGTGGCTGGGTTCGGTATGACAGAAGGAAGTCAAAAAGTAGATGGGGTGAGATTGCGGAGAGATTTTATGATGACAATACTCAGTATGCAGCCAAACAAGTTAGTAATGATCAGCTGTTTTATAAGAGAGAAGAGAGCTACACAATGGTGGCAGTTGTGTTGTTCTGACCGGAAAGAGCAACGCTGAACAATGTGTATGCCCTGATAGCAAGACGTGTGCCAAAGGAAGGCAATCAAGCTTTGAAGTTGTTCATTCCTCCCTCCCTCCCTCCCCAAGGTGACTAAATAAACATTGGTTATCTCTAACCTTCAAACGCTTTCTTCTACTTCAATCATTTTCTGTCGCTCATAATTTCCCTTCTATAACTTGAGCACTTTGTTTTTGAATTTTACAGCCCCCACAATAGATAATGCCTGGAGAGACCAAAGTTACCGCTTTCTCAGTTTGCTTCCCAGGATACAGTAGCAGTTTTCCACAAGTAATAATTAACCCTTAAAAGTTGTCCAACTGAGATCTCCAAACAGCTCTCGATAAACAAAGTCACTGTGGAAACTAAGCCGTTAGTCCCTGGTTTGTGCTGCATTAGATGAATTCAGGAAACGTTGCACATTGGTTAAAAAGCATATTTGACTGAGTATTTTACTGGACTGAGAATTTTATTGTTTCCATGCCCATGATATGTGTGGCAGCCTGGCTCCGAGGTAGCTCTCTTGCCTCTGAATCAGAGAGTTGCGGGTTCAATCCCCAAATCGGGACTTGAACTCTCAAGCTGATACACCAATGCAGTGGTGGGGGGGGGTTGCATTTCTGGAGGTGCTGTCCTTCGGATGATATCTCACCTGCCCGTTCAGGTGGACGTTAAAGGTTCCATCCCACTATTCAATAAAAGAACAGAGTTTCCCCCTGTGCGAATTGGCTGCCACGTTTGCCCACAAGCACAGTCACCACATTTCACAGTAAATCCTGTGCGGCACTTTGGGACGTTCATCTCAACATGAGAGGACTATTATTAATATAAGGAACTTAACTATTTCCACGGAGGAGGTATATTAATCTTGCCATATTTCTGTAGAAATGCGTTCTAGGGCACTAGGTGGTGCTGTGTATTTGAAAATTGAGTGGTGATCCCATCGTTTCAAGGGAAGCCCATACAGATCGACCAGCCTTGTGTCTCTGATGCTTTTCAGTCAGCACAATGATGTGAGATTTTCTGTCACAAATTAATTCCATTTCCTTTGGTCGTTATTTATTGTCTCAGGAGGAAAAACAAAGGAATTGTATATTTTCCCTTAGCTATGTACATGCTCATACTGTGTATTTGTTGTGCAGTTTGGAAGAAGCAAGCAGCAAGACATCTCAGAAAAAGGTAAGAAAAGGGCGTAAATTGACTGCAATCTCTGGATGTTTGAGCGCAATCCTTTGTATTACTTCACCAAATAGTTTTTAAGTACTTTTCAAGTTTTTGTCTGAATGACGCGATTACAGTGTTCCATATTTGTAGCTGAGAAAACAACAACATTGTTCAATTTTTTTTTTATCTACAGCACAAAATTATTTTGCGCCAGTTCAGTATTGGTGAGGAAAGACTCCAAAAGCGACAACCTATAAGAAGTATCGATGAAAGTAAGTGATGGATTGAATGCGGGTTTGAAACTCTAGCATTGACAGCAAAATGTAACAAATGGCAATGTTTCCATTCATTACTACCTTGATAAAGCCCCACATCTGCCAAATATATCTGAATTCTTTAAATATATTTTCTGTCTAACCTATTTTGAAAGGTCTTGCTTGCTAATAGAGATTCACAATAATAATCACAGTCACATGCGGATACAATAGAACTTGTGGTTCCATGTGTGGGCAGTATGTGCATAATTCAGTCAAGGGGGTGAATTTTTAAAAAATATAACTACTTCATTTAAATCCCCAAAGACTATGTCCTGGCCCATTAGCCTAACTCTAAATACCCATTAGGCACTGTCATGTAGACAGACAAATGTGCTTAACTCTGCTAATAGCACAGTAAAACAAGCACAATTTGTGCTATATATGTTTTTATGGTGACTTTACACTTTTTGATCACCAAGTTATGCGTACTATTAGTTTGATTTACGTCAAAGCCGCCCAAAGTTTATTCCAGTTTTTGTTTGCTCGTTGAATGTACATGTTTTATGGTGAAAGGTATGGTTTGCATTAAATATGTACCCTGAAAATAGTTGATATAGTCCTTGATACCCACATTGTAAGGGGTATTTTCTATAGTAGCTCTACTAGTGAAAGATCCCTAAGTAATATTTTATTATGTAATGGACCATAGTATAATGGAAAAATGAATGCTAGAAAATGATTTCATAATTGAAAGTAACCAGGAATGCACTGTAAGAGAAACTGGTTACACATGAATCAAATGTTAGCAATATTACTCTAAACTATAATATCAGAGTGTATCACCATGGGTACTGCCTTGAGGCTGCAAGATTTCAAAACCCCAGCAATTAATTATTAAAAAGCTCATTTAAACAGATTAATAGCTGATTTTGCATTGTCATAAGGAAACTCAACAGGAGAACATGACCTTACGTGACACAATATGAATTGTGCTGCTATTATGATCACAGGTTAAACAATTATGGTAGTTAATTCTTTGTTTCAATTTAGTTTTCCTGAAATCCTGACCCGTTAAGAGTCAGATGTCCGTGTGCTATGTATTTCAGTTTTTAATATGTTCCACCACCCTTGGAATGGAGTAGTGTGAGATATGATCTTTATCAGGCCCCAGATGAGTTCAGCCATTCTCATTCCACTACTTTACATTAAATCCTCATCCCAAATCAGGATCATGGCTTTTTGAAGCATTTTCCCTATTTCCTTCCATTGAAATACATTCCATGGGTTTGGTAGCATTGAGGTCCCTCAGTCAGGGAAGCGTGTTCTTTATATCCTCGCCTGGGCAGGCAATAAGTGTTGGCAGGTATTTGATTTGACCATGGGAGGGCTTTGCAGCTGTGTCCAATTTAATCCTTGGTCGATGTACACACGTGCTCTTTCCAACAGGGGTCACTGAATAAGAATCGAGAATAGTAACCCTGGCTGATTCTCATCTCCTGGGCCAGTGTGGCTTGAGCTAGTCAGTCACTGCCATGGAAGCAAGAGGGTAGCATGTTTGGTCTCTATGTTCCTGTATAGGCAGAATGACCATTAGAAACATAGGAACAGGAGTAGGCCATTCAGCCCCCGCGAGCCTGTTCTGTAGTTCATTCTATTAGATCATGGCTGATCTGTACCTCAAGTCCAAACACCCGGCTCTGACCCATATCCCTCAGTAGCCTGACCTAACAAAGATCTATCCACCTCAGTCTTGAAAACTTGAATGGATTCAACATCTACATAGTGTAACATTTAGGAGCTCAATATGGGAAAGAAATGAGGACTTATTTTTTTTTAACCCCAATCTGAAATTGTCAATCAATATATTCTCTCTGTAATCATGCAGTTCCTCTATTTTTTTTTGTCCTTGTAGTTCTCTTCAAGGTTTACTGCGCTGATCATACGTACATCACAATCCGTGTGCCAGTCGCTGCCTCTGTAAAGGAAGTGATCAGTGCTGTAGCTGACAAACTTGGCTCAGGAGAAGACCTGATTCTGGTAAAAATCAGCTCAGCTGGAGGTAGGTACTTCCATATGCATTGTAAAACGTAAGCTTTTGAATTATATTTTATAGAGCTATCCAAAAGAATTGTGCTTGACTTTGTAATATAGTACTTCTAGTTATTTTGGTAAGGAGATCGTTTAGCTGCAGGGTCAATTTAATCGGCTACAAGGAATGAAAGTATTGACGCAAGCTTATTTCTGACTTAGAATTGTTCCCCATAAGCACTGAAGGGTTAAATTAATGGAGTTAAGTGGAGCCCAACTCATGCGTTCAGTCGAAAACCTATTGTTTCTTGAGTTCATTCTTTAAGGCAAAATAGTGCAAAAATAAACCGGCAATGAATGGTAATATTAAACGTTTCAACAATACATCAGTGCCAGGAGTGATGTGGTGTTTGTATGAATCATTCATTATTTAGCCATCTTACAACCTCTTAAAGTAACTTAACCTCCTTTAGGCCTCAGTGTGATAGCATGCGAGGTTCTTGCCCGAGACAGCAGGTGGGCACCTTGCCAAAACTGCTCTTAGGCAGGCTCGCTCGGCTACGTGTGTGTGTGTGTGTGTGAGCGAGGTTGTATAATGTGCCCTCTGATCTCTGCACGGAGAGGCATCCTGCTGCGTGTTCACCACAGCGCCCAAGATCAGGAAACCCCCATGTGGACGTTGACGGTCACAAATCACCCTCCGTGGGATCAGTGTATTTATGCACCGACATCAAAGCGTTGTGCCATCAACATCATTAAGTTTTAAAAAAAAATTAGATTGCATTAAGTGAGTAGGTTGACTTCAGCCGACAATTGACGTTTTCTCATTAATTCTTCCCTTTCTTTCAGAAAGAGTAGTACTGAAGCCTAATGATGTTTCAGTTTTCACTAGTTTGAATGTAAATGGCCGCCTGTTTGTCTGCCCGAGGGAACATTTTGACTCTCTGGTATGTAAGCTCTGAATATCAGTAATGTAAATACTTCAACCAGGAACAGCGAACAAAATCAATCTATTTCAGATTAAAATGAGAAACTCATTCGTATCAGATTTAAACTGGTTGATGATAAACATCATCAACTTTAGAAAGCCAGAGAGCCCTTTGCAATATTACAGACTCTTAAAACGAAATACCTGAGGTATATTGAGTTATTGTTACGATCTTCCCCAAAGATAGTAGTATTATTACTATTTTATTCTTTATTATTTAATCAAAATGCTTGGCTGGCTGTTTTAACTTATCCACAATATCTCTTCTCTGTCATGTTTATCTGCTGACCATATCCTCCACAGTCGATTGTCTTTGTAAACGTGGAATTGATGTTGAATCACAACAACAGTTGTTACTTTTTTACTACATCAACAACAAAATTACATTTGTACAGCGCCTTTCATGTCGGGAGGACGTCCCAAGGCGCTGGACAGACAGAGTTTCGGGGTGAGGGACTGGGGGAGGGCAGGGGGGCAAGCAGGGAGATCGAAAGCATGGTCGAAGAGGACTTTAGGGCACTTTACTACAGGGCACTTTAGACCCTTTATTTTAACTATATTAGAAATGACGATGATTAAGTGCAGGTTATGAGAATATAATTTTCACAGTTTTAGTTTTCTAGTTCCTAAGCCAACACATAAATAATATCTCAGGATACAATGTGTAGTCTCGTAAGCGACTGCCAAGGACAATGAAGTTGAATTGGATGGATCTTAGTCTACCTTCGTTGAGCAAATTCTTATCTTATGTTCTAAGCCTTCTTGCCAAATACAATAACACTGAAAAGTTCTTGCTGTAGTCACAGACGGCCTTTGCTTGGTTAGAATCTGGTCCTTTTTCACACTGAATTTCCTTTGTAATTGTTAAAAAAAAAAATAATGACACATTGAGTTTGCACTCTCTGTGGATTATGTCAATCAAGGGTGTGATTTTTTTTCTCGTCAAGTCATTTTCTATTTTTTTTTGTAATGAAAGTTGTTTTTTTCTATTCCATGTTTGTCTTTCTTTGATTTTTCGCAGACTCCACTGCCTGAACAAGAAGGGCTGTCTACTGGAACAATGACAATTTTTGAATTAATGAGTTCTAAAGATTTGGCCCACCAGATAACAATATATGATTGGGAGCTGTTCAATTGTGTCCATGAGGTATGCATCTGGATCAAACGCAATTGCAAACATCGAGCAATTGCATTTTTTTCAGGCAATTAATTTCCGTACAGTTTTGCTAGTTTAAAATAACAAGCGATTCAGTAGTAATACAGACTTTCACTGCAATTTTTACGTCTAGCTAATATTAAAATTGCGCTAAGGCACCAATTTTATATTGAATTGTGTTTTGAAAAAGAAAAGTAAAGATCACATATGGATTGCTCCTATATGATTAGTATTGCTAATTGACATTGAAGTGCTGTGCCTCAGGGAAAGAGACATTTAATATCTCAAGTTCTTTCACAAATAATTGCTGCCTAGTGTAATGACTAGTTTTGCCCATTGCTTTACATTTTTCTTGAAACTAATACAGTGGCTAAAGTTTGAGGAAAAGGTGTCAACCATCTGAGGAATTGATTTTAAATAGCAATTATTTAAAAATAATTGAGACATCTCAATGCCGTGATAAGGCGCTATATCAAATGCAAGTATTATTAATTAGAACTATTTTACTAATGTCTTATGCTTGGAGTAGCAGCAGTGTGGTGACTTATTCCTGCTGTCTTAGATTTAGTGTTATAAAATGAATGCATTGTTTATTCCTCCTGGCACGAAAGCATGAATGCAGATTAAATTTTTGTGAATTACAGTACTTGAACTTGGAGTATAAACTAAAAAAAAATCAGATGAATCCAGCATCCCACTTGAATGTTTTACAGGAAAAAAATGACCTGTGCGTAATCAGCTGGAACTTGACATGAGGCAAAATATCTTCCCTTAAAAAGCTAGGAAATGCTGTGATACAATAGAAACAAGTGGTGTTTTGGCACCAGAAATGGTTAGATGTTTAATACCAAGATTTTTGGTACTTTGCCAGTGACTTCAATGCAACTGCTTTCTGTTTCAATTTGTGGAGACTGGTTCCTATTAAGATAGAGAAAATCCTTTTCAAAGTACACATACGTACCCAGTGAATCCACAAGAATTCTGGTAGACGTTTAAGGTTTTTCAAATATTTTGTTGAGTAACAACTTTCTACATAGCCTTTGAAGTTTTCTAGTTTTTTTCCTCCCCTCCCCCACCATCTCCCTCTTTATATTAAGTCCTCGACATGAAGATCAACATGATTGGCTTTTTGCCATTATCCAATTGGTAGCCATGGGACAGTAGATAGATCCATCCTGGGGTGACATACCCTCTAATTTCCACCTTTCCTCCTGTGGGGAAATAAAGGGGTCTGTGCAGATCAGAAACGTGCTGTGAAAATTGCTTGTACAATGTTATATTCTAGCACAATGTGCATTTTTACAGCTCCAATACTCAATGTCATACTTTGCCAAATACTCGTCAAATCTTTCCCAATTTGAAACGCGCTAAGTTTTTTTTTTAAGTTGTTTTGTAAACGAAAATTTACCTTTAAAAACATTTGGCAAGTCACTAAATTATTGAAGTGTATTTTCAAACTGTAAGCATAATAATCTATGATTTAATATTGCTGATAAACTCACTGCAAGTTTGCTTACCTTCACAAGCTGGAACTAGTGTATCATACATTTGGAAGACAGAACTTCAAGAAGACCACAGCTAATCTGGATCTGTTCCTGAGAAGATTTAACGAGATTCAGTTCTGGGTTGTAACTGAGACCTGCCTCTGTCCTCAGCTCAGCAAACGTGTCCAGCTTCTGAAGAAGTTTATCAAAGTCGCAGCTCAGTAAGTATCCTAGGTTTTACGCACAATAATTTACCTTTTTCAATGAAAAAAAGCAATAATTCCAAAGCGTATAAAATTGGTAATCCTGTATTGCTGCAGCATTCTTGTATGTGAGAAATTGCAGTGAATTTTGCATGTTCTTCACAGGTGAGGAGAATCTCATAACTCAGAAGCTTCAAGTAAACAAGAGCGGGTTCTCCTCAGAGTGGCAGTTAATGGGGCATTTGGGAGATTTGGCATTTACTGTGACCAAACAAACAGATACACCAAATATCTGATCATGTAATGCAGTCCCTTTCCTGTGTACTGACCGGCATTGTTATTGTATCGCATTCTTAACCTTAACCCTTGCAATCGGGGGTGGACTGGGTATATGGGAAATTGGGAAATTTGCTGAGTGCCAATATCAATGGTTCCTGAGCCCTCCCTCGCTCCCCCCTCCCCATGATTGGTGAGGAAAATCTCATGGTTGCAAGTAAACAAGGTTGTGGTGTGCTAGGATTGACTGCTACCCCAGATTCCACCTTTGAAGGAGGAAGCACTAATGCAACAATACATGCTTGGCTACCACCAAATAGTTACCCCTGTGATACATTCCCTGACGTCTCCTATTTAAACCACAAACTGTTTGCTGTGCTCTGCTATTGTGTTTTTTCCCCCCTTGGTGCTAAGCCTGTGTAAAAATTTCAGCATGCACGAGGGAATGTGTTGGAGAGGAACATGCTTTGAATGCTATTTTTTTTTCCTTTTGTCGTTTGGAGCAAATAATTAACTGAAAGCCAATGTAGAGTGATTGAGCTCATCTCACTGGAGCCAACTTCCAACCATTCAACAGGATTCATTCCCTACTGCAGTGCAATCTGCACAACGTCCCATGTCTGCTAGGAAAACAATATATTTGCGATTGACGTATGTGTTGAATCAGAGGAACAGTTTTAATGAGCAGTGGAACTCCCACGATGACACAGCACACCTCTGTGGAGGGGATTCAGGCTGCATTGTCATGAGCAGAAAGGTGCAGAAATAGACTGATTGAATCTTGACTAGAATAGCATCCTATTGGGCTTGCAAGGTAACATTTTCATCTTTGCCGGTTGCTTGAATGGATTATCTTGAAGCAATGGGGTGCCTTACCCGAAGGATTATTCCACTAACCTGGTCAATAGCAGTAAAGTCCACCAATTTGTCACTAACTTGTCATCAAAGCAGTTTATTATTTTCTGAAGGCAAGCTGTTGAGTGAGGCAGGGATTCAAAATGCTTCACTATTTTATGCAAACTTTCATCCGACACTATGTAAATACTCCAACTGGTGGAACCATTGCTCAGTGGGTAGGATGTGGGCAAGAGGATGGGGGTAATTACTCTCACGCCTTTCATGCTGAGCTGTGATGCTCTGGGTTAGGGTGAGGATGTCAAATGACTATCCTCCTTGGGTGGGAGAAGGAGAGGGAGATGTTAAGCAGGGTCTCCTTGAAGTTGAGCTGGCTCCAAGGCTTGGCGATGGGGAATGTTGGAATCAAGTTTAACCCTCCATAGTCCTGAACCACACGAGTCCATTGTACTGCAGGATACAGCTGATCGATCGGTAGTTAATCTAATTCATCATATTGGAAGGACAAACCGGTCACTAGGAATAAAGATTCAAGGGGCTCAGCTATTGATAACCCTGGAAAACAAAGGCATAACTGATAGGATGGTCCTAGCTTGTGGGAATGTTGGCTTTTATGAGTTCATCATTGCATTGTTTGGACAATCCTGTTAATTATATTTTCAATCCAGAAGTCATGAGCTGAAGTGAAAACTCACAACCAAAACACAAATCCAAAGCCCTTTTTTATCATGCCTGTACAATATATTTTAGCTGAAAATTCCATCCAAGAAATAAATTCTCTGCAAACGTACATTATGTGTAAACACAGTTTATGTAATGAAAAATTAAGTAGTTAACTGCATACTACCAACTCAATGCAGTTGTGTGTTTGCAAAAGTCAGACTAATGGTAGTAATTGCTAGTTCTCTATTGATATTTCCAATATGATTTCCTTTTCAGTTGCAAAGAATACAGAAACCTGAACTCCTTTTTTGCTATTGTAATGGGACTGAGCAACGTGGCTGTGAGTCGTCTCTCGCAGACATGGGAGGTAGGTACTTTCATCAGCATAATGTACTTTAAGATCCATTTGTATTGATTAGAAGTTAATTTGCAACTAAATAGAGGCACGCAGCTTCGAGTACTTACAAAATTGCGTTGAATTATATTCTATCCAAAGCAGCTTGATTTAGAACTCGTATCATACATGTGGTTTAAGCTCCTGTACCTAAGGGCGCTTGTGAAAGCTTATAAATACCCTACTTCTATTGGCAAATTTCAAATGGCACATATAGGCAGTTTTATTTTGTGTGGATCATTTTATGCTTCCAGTATTGAAACTGCCCTTTGGACATATTTCCCCTTTAATAATGTATATCCGAACCAATTGATGAAATATTTTAATGAACTGAGCAGTGTAGGACCATCAATCTATATTGATTTAAATGAAAACTCCCCTCACACTGGGAAATGTTCCCCAGGCTCTGCTGGTTATTATTACACAAACCACCAAAGCGCGGCAGGTACACAGTAATCCAAAGCAGATTGGAGATGTAGACATGTACTCAAACCTATCAATTAAAGCCATAAGAGGTAGCTTTAGAAATACTGCACTACTTTTTTTGAACAAAACGTACACATTTTATACTAAAAGGCCCCAGTATTTTTTTACCCCAAACCGTAAATGAATAATTTCTGGTATTCGTAAAGATTTGCTTGTTTCTGCTTGAAGTGATATTTCAAGGTTTATAAGTACATCCTAACCAGGAATGATATTTGCTAAACGCGTACTCTCATAAAGCAGGTTACCCAACTAACCTCACTTGTGGGAAGTTTTGTAAAGTTACATTGCTGCCTGTGACTCTGTTGTAACATCTGTGTTTGTCGTACAGTATAACAATCCGGCATTATCTTCACAGAAACTTCCAAGCAAGTTCAAGAAGATCTATTCGGAATTTGAAAGTTTGATGGTTTGTATACAACTTTTAAAGAGTATTGAAGATGATGATCCGTTTATCAACTTTGCTTAATCAGGAGTTGAGTTATGATGGAACAGCTGTATGGCATTGGCACGTTGGCTTCTTATTCTGAATTATATCCAATGGGAGTTGGCTGGTTTCCCAACCCTCAAACGTTTAAATATGAGGAGAACAAAAAGCTGTGTTTAACAGCAAATGGAGCTGGAGCTTCCAACTACTCACAAAGACAAAAAAAAATATCATTTCCGTACAATTAGTAAGGCACCCAGATACCCTTTGTTTCATTCGCTCCTACCTATTCCATTTTTTTTCTCAATTATATTCTGTTCTTTCTTGTTGTCCCTTCATCGCAGTTTGCGGTTTCTTTGTTGCGGTTTCCGTGTTCTCTCTTCCCTCTTTATCCTTATTGCGACCTCTTTTCTGTCCCCCTGTTTTTTTTTTTAAAAAAAATTCTCTCTCTGTTTCACTCCCTTTCCTCGTTTAATCTTTCTCCCGCGTGATATCGCACTCATAACATCACCTCGTTGAGAACTGCTGACATCAGAAAAAGAACAACTGTACTCGCTCCAAACCTCACTCTTCCCAGGATACCCGATAAGTGTTCCACAAGTATATTAGGAGTGCTACAGTCAATTTATAGCAGTACGTGTCAATGAGCCTTTTATCCTTACGGTCAATTTCCTAGCTGTGCGGGCTGTATATTTCGCTGAAAGTTAAAGCTCCTGTTATACTGTATCTAGAAACTACGCTTTTGTTTTGATTCCTGCAAACTTTTTTTCCCTCTGCATGAAATAAATATTGAATACAAACGTGAAATTAATTTACTGAACACTCCTCTTCAGGATCCCTCCAGGAACCACAGAGCTTACAGGCTGACAGTAGCTAAGCTGGAATCGCCCATCATTCCCTTCATGCCTTTACTTATAAAAGGTAAACCACATCCTAGTTTTCATGTGTTCACGTTTCAGTGCAAAGCCAGTTCGGTCGAGCCAAAAGATTGCAAATATTTTTTGTATTGTTGTACTGGTGCCTCCAATATTGTGATGTCGCTATATAAATAATTACAATAAATAGTTAAAAATGGTTTTGCTGCGTTATC